CAGTGCTAATTAAACAGTTTATTCTAGTAAGAGTTATAGCATAGTCAAACAGTCCATATATCATTCACTAGTTCAGTCCATCCAGGGATTATTCAGTTGCAAATTCCAGTGTCGAAAAAGAGAGGTCAGTAAACTTACAAATATCAGTCCAGTAATATATCTCCTCGCAGTAGAGATATGAAGAACTCAAAAAACTCCTCTCTTCCTTCAGCAACTCAGCAGTAGGGGAAACACGCAGTTAACAAACCATCAATCCATGCAATCCAGTAATTGTCAGGTTCTCTTGCTCCCTCTTATGGTGGTTTCACACCGCACCCAAAATTACATGCTTTGCAGTTTTAAAGTGACACACACTTAAACTTACAATCATAGTTTATATATATTATTTTACCCAAACTACATTAGGTAACCTATGTTATTCCTAACAACTGTAGGGCATTTTCACACCACTGCAAGCAAGAACAATAGATCAGCCCATAGTCATCAAATAGTCTGCATGCCCTTCAATCCACTACAATATATTTACTTGAACTTGTTATTCAAAATGCAATAAGTAATATAGGTAGTCCCCGACTTACAACAGTTTGTTTAGTCACCATTCAAAGATGCAACAGCACTGAAAAAAAAAAGTGACTTATGATCAGTTTTCATACTTGCAACCATTGAAGGATTCCTGTGGCCATGTGATTAAAATTCAGATGCTTGGCAACTGGAATATATTTATGATGGTTGCGGTGTCCCGGAGCGTTTTGATCACTTAGGTTAGAAAATGAGGCAAAACTCAATGAAATGTCTTGCTTAGCAACATAAATTTTGAGCTCAATTGTGGTCATACGTTGAGGAATATCTCTATTTACTGGAGCTTGCTTCTATGTACTCAAGATTTTATGCAAGTTAAAGCTCTTTCTATTAGAATTTAATCTCTGTTCTATTACTCCTTGTATTCATAACAAGTGGGAGTAGTATATAAGAGAACAGTAAAGTTCCATGTACGTATTCTGGTGTTTGGACTTAAAAAGAGAAACTTAAAGAATATGCTAGTATTAGTGAAGTTTTGCAGCTCAATTTCCCTTCAGTTGGAAGCTAACAGAAATAATTTCTTATATCTATTCTGGAACTTGACCTAATCATCACATAGCTTAGGCTGACTTTTAAAAAGTCGAGACAGTATAATGACAATTTGGTATTGTAAGACACAGGCCTGTTGGTTCAATCTCATTAGCTCACAAAATGGCCTTAAATAAACTACTCTCTGTGATACGAATAATAATACTATATCCTTGCTGGTTGCTGCCATTCTGGAGGGAGCAGGTTGCTGGAGCTGAATTCATTGCATGCTTTCTCTTTTGTTGTAACTTTGGGCATTTTGGGGAGGGACTGGAAGGATGGGATTCTTCCCAGCCCCAGCCAGCTTAACCAAGGTTGCAATACCCCGAGATTGAACAACTATCAAGTTAACGCCTCAGAGTTTCTCAAAATGCCTTTGCGGCATATTATTGGCTCCTAGGGGATTGGGTGAGGCTTGAAGAGGAAAAAATAGCTTGATGTTTTGCATGGGCGTTTCAGATTCTGTAATCACTTTCTTTCAGTAAAAATTTCCTTTTGAACTGCTACCATTTGAAGAGTCACACTTTCTTGAGAAGATAGCTGTGGTAGGTCCTTATATTAGGCAGAATCTGCAAAGTGGTCAACGTGGAGAAGCACACAGCCCTACCATGGGGACCATGCAAACCATGTCCACCCAAGGCAGCATCCAAGAAGAAGCTGAATGTTGGGGGAAAGCCTCCAGTAAGACTCATCAAGGAACAAAGGCTGGAGGATGGACAGAGGAAGCTACAAGCCTGGGGAAATCAGCCAAGCACTGATGGTCCATCGGCGGCAGGAAGAAAGATGACTTGGGAGGGGCGGACCAAGGGAGTCACCCTCATCCGAGCCAGCCGCCAATGTGACTGGAAAGAAGAATTGGAGGAAGAGGAGGAGGAGGTGGAAGGGGATGAACCCGATCATGCTGATCTCCTCATGAAGCAAGCCATGTGTTGCATGATGGATGCATTCGAGAACCTGAAAGCAGGGGAGGCATTGCTGCAGATGTCAAGTGATGGTGGCTGCTGGAGCCAAGCCAAGGAGTGGGAAGGGAGACTCTCATCCCTCAATATCACAGCCGTGGTGTCTGCCACCCCGGCCAAGACTGCTGCAGCTACGGTATTTCAGCCAAGAGATGTCAAGGGCCCCAACGTTCAAAGGTGGAGCAAGGTCTCAGAGGCAGTTTGAAGCTGCCTTAGCTGGCCATAAAGCCAGAGACTGCATAAAGACTCCCCAGCAAGGGAACAGTCTGACGGCTGAATATACAGAGGAATTCCATAACCTGGTGTGCTGTCTCGACTGGCAGGAAGACATCCTCGTGAGCTGTTTCAAAGATGGGCTTAAGGATAACCTGTACGCCACATGGGTTGTGAGCTCCCCCCCCCGCCTCCACAACTGGTCTGTGCTGGCCAAGGAAGTGGAAATCGACCAGACTTGAAACAAGTATCGTTTGGCCACAAATCCTGAAAGAAATCACCCCCTAAGAGGAAGAAAGAGTCAAGCAAAGTGCAAATCCAGCTGGCATGCCCCACCGCTGACTTCAAGTATGGCAGAAAAGGCCACTAAGCTGCTGAGCAACTACACCAGCTGCCCAGTGAAGAGAGTGGACCAGACCCTACGAAGCCTACGAAGCTGCTACCTTATAGAAAAGAAATGGCTCTGAAAAGGATGGAGGTCATAAGAGTTCACCCCCTTGCCCAATAGAGAGGAAGGAACTTCGACCCCACCAAACAATGACATGAAATCTGACAACTACAGCTTAATGTGATGTCTCTTTCAGGGGGCAGCATGTCAGGTCCCCAATGGGATGCTGCCATTCTGGAGGTGGAAGGGGCCAGTTGTTGGAGTGAATTCTTTGCATGCTTTCACTTTTGCTGTAACCTGAGGGATTTTGGGAGGGGCTGGATGAATAGGCTGCTTCTCAGCCAGAGCCAGCTTACCCAAGGTCGCAGTGCCCTGAGAGTGAACTACTATCAAGTTAACATCTCAGAGTTTCTCAAAATACCTTTGTGGCATATTATTGAGTACCGGTGAACTGCGGGATTGGGTGAGATTTGAAGAGGGAAAAAAGCTTGATGCTTTGTGCAGCTTTTCAGATTCCACCTGACTTCTTTGCAATCACTTTCTCTCACTTTCCTTTTGAACTGTTATCGTTTCAAGAGTCGTGCCTTCCTGAGAAGATAGCTGAGGCAGGACCTTACACATACTGTCTAAAACAATACTACCAGTTCCTGCTAAGTTCTCATTCAACTTTATTCATCACTACCACCTTCTTGGTGACAAGTGTTGCTATAGGTCCATAAACATTTTTGCAGCTCGATTAATTTAGCAGAACAGCTGATCTTTTGCATCGAGTTCACCTTTGTCCATTAATTTCAGTGGACTTCATTCCAGAGTAACTCAATAGACCAGCTAATTTTACTTGTCTGTGTTAGAAATTCAAAGTTCATACAAGGCGCCATGGTAGAAAAGAACATAATCCCTTGAGCGATATTGCCAGGTTGAGGTGAATGAAGTGAGTGGTATAGCAGTTCTTGTGCTTTTACATGGCCTTGTGCAAGTAATATATGGAATTTGATGTAATTTTGAAGCTGATCAGAGTCACCTGAACAGAGATGGACGGCAAATAATTTTGATAAACCGATAAAATCATTTTTCCATGTTGTATAAGGCATAGAATCATTCTTTTTTATGGATGGTCGGTTACGCACATAGAATGAAGTTTCTAATTTTTATGGCTATCATCTTATATTTTAGAAATCAAGACTGGCTTATTTAGAATTCTTACTGCATGATTATTTTTTAACATTCTGCAAAAATTATTTGTTTGCTTGTAAAATTTCCAGGGGCTTGAAGTAGCTTTTTGACTATTTTCATTTGTCCAGTCTGAAGCCAAACTAGAAGTGGACAAGTTGGATGGTTGCTGATAAACAGCAGTCTTATAATGTGGTTGATAACAGGATTAGATTTGCCAGGGCCAAAACGGTTGTAAGGCTATCCCTAGACATGCTATTTGCATATCTAATTGGGGAATTCTGAGAGTTCAAGTCCACATATCTTACAGTTAGCAAGGTTGAGAAACATTGGGTTGGCGGAAAATGTAACATGGCTTTGTGACCTTCGCATGGGGAGTCCAAGGGAGCACCCACCCTTCGCCTTTTCAGTTGATTTTTTAACAGGACTTAATTATTCGTGCCTCCTTCTAAAAATTGCTTAATGTTGACATGTTAATTCTAACATTTTAATTTTTATATATAGATTTTATATGCTGGCATTTAATTGTACACTGCCCAGTGTAAGAGATGGACAATTCAGAATTGTGAAAAATTAATAAATAAGTGGACTTGGGGAGAGTTTTCATTGGAATCATTGCACTCCATCCCTATTTCCTATTTCCTTAGTGCTATTCCACCTTACCCCCCGTTTTTCACGAGGCTGCTATTCAAGTAAAGAATAAAGATACTTTTGAGACAGAGTCCACTCTTGTTGATTAAATGGAGCACTCCCTAATGCAGTCTTTCCCTTTCAAAAGTGCAAAATTTTTCTTTTTTCTTTTGTTCAAGGTTTTTTTTTTTAAATTACAGTCTAGTCTCCAGCTCCTCTTTGGGAATCTCGTCTATGGCTTAGCCAAGGCTAACCCTTCTTCGCTTCTAAATGTAGACAAGGGCAGTTTTCTACAACCACAACAAAAAAGAACATTTAGGAAATTAAGACCCAACTAGTTTGCTCAACAATACAGCCCAAATGTTTTAGATTTTTAAAACAGTCAAAATCATGCTTGCTTTGTGCTTTTGTTTAAAGGAGCTATATATTTGTTTCTTTGTGGGGTTGCATGGCTAGAAAAAACACCCTTCTAAGACTGACTGTGGTTTAAAATAATAAAAAATGGAATGCTTTTTTCTTTTTTTGTTCTGCAGTATTTTGGAAGTTTGCTTGTGATATTCTGCATTGAACTGGCGTGTGGTGTTTGGACCTATGAACAGGAAATTACAGTGAGTATGTATATAGGAAAATTGATCATGTTTAGAGACTTTGATTCTTTTAAATATTCAATTCTTGATATAATTCCTTTCTTCAAATATATGATGTTTTATTGAACATGAAAGTAAATTCTATGAAAATTACTTGGAGTGAGCTTTAATGGGATCCAATTGGGATCGATCTTAGGTGCCTTATTATATAAATGGAAATTTTTGTTCCACATTAAAAAAACTAGCTATTTCTAGTTTAGATAAAAAAGAATTTCTGTTTATTATATTGTATTATTATATTATCGGATCAGATCAGATCATAATATTTTTATTACATGCTGTAGCAGTATATCCTTTTTAAAAAAAATATGGACCTGATTCATATATTTAGATAATTTGTAATCAAGGTGAATAAATTAAGCTAGTGTATTAATAAAACTTGTTTTGTTTTATTAAGTCACAGTTGGCTTCATGTTGTTTCCGTATGATAGAGAAGAGCTATCTGTCGGCCGGTTAAGAGCTTTATTAATGTTTGCCTAATCATATCAACTGATCAATCCAGTTTTGCATATTTGTCAAAAATTCTTTGGGTTTAAAAACGTAATCTGTTTCAGTAGCACTTTCCATAATTGTTCAAGTGAGTTGTGTGTGGAAACAATATTCATTGTCATTATTGTACCATGCCTCTTCTTCCAATGCTCTGAAGAAGTTGAATCTTTATAATCTGCAGAAAATGACTAGGCACTCAATCTAATCCAGATAATATTTGCTGTTGGGTGCTATTGGAACCATAGCTAGCAAAATTATGTTGGTCTCCCAATATGAGAATTATACTATGGTGTTGCGACTGTTGTTGGACAAAGAGTGGGAAGACCCAGTTTAAAGTCCCCCTCAGCCCTGGGAAACTCACTGGGTGGCTTTGGATAGGTGCTCTTTCACAGCCCAACCCAACTAACTATTGAGGAAAAATGAGAAGAGGTAATGCTATTTACAATGCCCTGAGCTCCTGGAAAGAAGGTAGGGCATTAATTTGACAAAGGTGTGCAATAAATACCTACTGACTGAGATGTAAACCCTGGTGTGTTCATTAAATTTTATTTTCAGAAATGTGGCTGCAGAAAAACAGCCATCCTACTCATTCACATGCAAAATCTTAAAATCATACCTTTAAAAAAACCCTTACTCAACATATTTAGGATTACTTATTAAAGTTCAAGCAAGATTGTATAGCATTATACATTCAGAAATGTAGGCAACCACATTTCTGAATGGATGTTTTTCTGTAAATATAGATGTTTGTGCTAAAACCACAGCTTTGTTAAAGAGGCAATTCTGTCCTTTCCCTTTTCAAGCTAGAAAAGTGATTCATTCTTGCAGACGAAAAGTATAATTAGAATGAAGAAAACAAATTGGCATGTTATTGTGCTAGCTGTTGAATTCTCCTGTCTTCTTTTTCCATGTGGTACTTATTTATGAAGAGAATGAAAAGAGCTTTGTGCAGAGTTGCTAAAATAGATCAAACAGCAGCAGTCATGTCCTTCCTTCCTTCCTTCCTTCCTTCCTTCCTTCCTTCCTTCCTCCTTCCTTCCCCTGCCCTCCGCTGCCCTCCGCTCTCCTCCTTCCCTCCCACTGGAACAAAAGGGATTCCTGGCACTTCTTTCACCTGAAATATCCTGCTAATAGTTTTCATCAAAATTCATTCCCCTGCTATCTATGCATTCCACCGAGAGGCTATCATTCTAAATATAACTACAGTTAAAAATATTATTTTCTCTAAATGTCCGAATAAAAATGGAAGCATAGCCACGTGTGTTTCATTCACCCCATGAGTTCTGCTGTCCTCGGAGAGTTTTATGGAGAAATGCTTCAAGAGAATTGAGGCTTCTTGCCAAGGTACAAGTTGAAAATGTTCACAAGGAATAGGCATTTCTTTAGAAGAGTTAGTAGCTGAAGAAAGAGCCTCCCCAGTGGGCCTTACTCTAACTGGCTAGATGAATGCCTGCACGAAGGAGAATCAATAAAACCCAGGGGTTGAAGGATGATAATAGCTCTTCTTTCTCTGGATGAGAGACTTGTACATTTCTCTTTTATTTGGGGTTCTTTAGCAGTTACTATCTGAATTAAGTCCCTATTTTCTTTCATTCGGCACATCTATAAAATGCTGTCAGTAGCTGGCAAAATCTGGAATTACTGGAATTCACTCACCTATTACTGGTATGTTTTGAAATAAGTATATTGATTTATCATATTTGTGTAACTGCCCATCTCACATGAAAGGAAGTATCTTTTAAACCAGACAACAGAAAATATTGCTTCATTTCAGTGTAACAGAACAAACAAGAACTTGTTATCCGATTGGTCAACCCAGCAATGTATCCGTTTTACCAGGAGTGGGATGCCAGGTGCTTTGCGCGGCACAGCTGAGGTTGAAAAATCAGGAATAAAGTGGCTTTCCAAACACCGCGCACCCGTGCGCAGCGCTTTTCAGCTGTCCGGGCGGCACAGCTTAATGGTTTTTATACATGCACGAAGCGCGCAAGCACATGCAAAACATAGTCATCAAATCGCTAGTAACACCAGTTGAATCCCACTGCTGCGTTTTCCTAATCTCATAAATGAACAAATAATCCTCAACTTAAATCAGTTTTTTTTAGTGACTGTTTAAAGTTACAGTGGCACTGAAAAAAGTCAATTATGACTGGTTTTCACCTTTATAGCATTCCCCATGATCATGTGATCAAAATTCAGATGCTTGGCAACTGGTTCATACTTATGACCATTGCTGTGTCCCAAAATCATGTACGATCCCCTTTTGCGAACTTTTGATGAACAAAAGCGACGGGAAAGCTAGATTCACTTAACAATTGTGTTACTAACTTGTCAACTGCAGTGATTCACTTAGCAATTATGGCAATAAAGGTTGTAAAATGGGGCAAACTCACAGATGTCTCACTTAAGAACAAAAATGTTGGGCTCAATTGTGGTCATAAGTCAAGGACTACTTGTATAAACCTGTGTACATTAAATCATTGCATTGCATTTTTTTAAGATGCCAACCTCTTCCTTCCTGCTCTTAGATATGCAATATTTTTGTTTTAAGTATATTTGTTCTATCATAAAAGATAAAATACAAAACAGAAAAACAAAACAAAACAAAACCATAGATTTTTTTTTGTATGAGCAATTTCCATGATATAAATTATTAACAGTTAATAATAATGGTCTGTCTGTCACTGCACTTGGATTCAAATTTTCATTTAAATCGAACAAAGTGTATTTTTAAAAATCGATGCAGACTTTTGGTTGAATGATTGGAAAAAGAGTTTAATTTGCAGAACTATCCATTCAGCAAATGGAATTCTTATCCTCTTGAATGCAAGGTTCTTCAGGGGGACAAAATTAAAACTAAGATAAAATATTTGGTTTTATTGTGTTTCACTAAGCTTTTTAAAAATGTTCATTCTTTTTAATCTTAGTTTGATCCTTTTTTTAAAAAAAGTAGCATTTTGCCATGAGCACATTACAGATGCATTTTCCATAATGCATATTTGTTTTATTTTTTGTCTTCAGTTGTATCATTAACTATCATTTCAGTCCTTTTAATAACTTTCAATATTTGAAGGAAAAGCAGATTCAAATATGAGATAATGTTTTTATACTACCTATCTCCATACATTGTCACATTGCAGTTTTCTATATTTGTTTATTACTGCGCAGATATTTGTTGTTTCAAGCACACTTCGTGTGTTTTTCCATTGACATTGGTTATACCTTTGGAACTTTCCTTTTTTTTTTTAGTATTTTCTTTTCTACTTACATTATACAGTATTTAATTTACACACCTTCATTGTCTTCATCTGTTGTAAAAGACAACACTTTGCCTTTGACACCTTAGTTAAATAAACATTCTTTGTTCTGCATATATAGCATACTGTATTCAGTATACTTATCTTGAAGCGATGTCATAACTTTCTCCAATTTAGCATCCTTCAGATGAACTGAAACCAAAACTTTCAGAAATCCTGCCAAATCTATCACATCTGCAGGACACTAGTTTGGGAGATTCTAGTTTAAATAAATATGTATGTAATTACTGATGATACACTGTCTTGTTTGCCTTTGTTTTTAAGCTATTATTGTTTTTATATTCCACCGTTGCAGATTTTTGGCAGAGTTAGTTTTATTGTTTTGATTTTTTTTTAATTCTTGTAAAACAACTTGAGTTGACTTGAATTCATTGGACAACCTATACGAATGTGTAATACATAAATGTTATCTCAAAATATTTGCAAGTTTTTTTCTGATATATTTTTCTGCACCCTGATTTGGTATTTTATTAAGGTAGGGGAATGAAACTTGAACTGAACATCCTGTTTCAATTTGTGTGAGCACCTTTCTTCTATCAGTAGACATAACTGAGAATCTCAGAAAGTCTTCTACTGCACTGAGTAAATGGTTTTATTTCAGGAAATATATTTGCCATTTGATTCCAGATTATGATTCATGGTTTAAATATGGGCCAGGAAAATATGATGCATGAAATATCTTGGAACTTAGTCTTTATCAGTCTTGGCCAACATGGCCAACAATCATGGATGATTTACATTGAATCCAGCTGTCCAACTCTGGCTTCACCCAATTCCTGCCTTGCCTCTGATCCTGTTTGCCCTCCCCCTAGAGTATGTTACAGTCACATTCCCCAACGAAGCAATTTCATGGGTCGTAGAAATCACTCTCTCCAGCTGTTGTGGGTTTCCGTGGAGATGGCCTTGACTTCGGCTGGCTTGGCTGTGTCTTGTTTTGACTGAGGTGTGAATTCCTTGGTGCATCTGTGAGATGCAATTCCCATCCTCCTGCCTATGGCAAATTAGGAGCAGGTCAGGAAAGCTTCGCGAGTTAACATTAGCTATATCCTGAGGGCTACAAGTTCTCCATCTCTGATTTAGAAGTTACTACATCTCCTTATCTCTTGTATGAATTGAATTATTTGTTATAAAGAAGAAAGTAGGCTCAAAGCGATTCCTCAGACCCGGAGAACAGTAAAAGTTTCTGCTATTTCTCATGAGGCATAAAAGAGAAGAGGAAAAATAAGGGAGGAAGATGGCCTTATTACAGTTTGTCATTATCGCAGGAAAACCTTGTTTCCTATTATCACAAAAGTGAACTGGTTCGTTTTTTTTTTGGGTCGAAAGTAATATAACATGTCTAACTGGGAAAATGTGCTGCTTCATTCACAGGGATTGTTATTCATAGCACAGATTTTGAGTCAATGCTGGGAAGAACATTACTTTTTCACTATTAGTTTTACTAGCGAAACAACTGAATCTAAACAAAATAACTGGCCAAAATCAATCTATACTGTATAACAATTTTATGTCAATTTAGTGGAAACCCAAATGCCTAAAGAAGAGCTTTTTAATGCAGGGATTAAAAATTTGTCTGGGATGATTTAAAGACTCCTGCCTTGGGGCGAAGGGTTGGACACCAAGGTCCCTTCTAGCTCTTACATTCTATGAGCCTTTTTTTTAACGGCGGGGTTGAGGTGGGAGAAAAGGACTGATTTGTTCCTTATTTGATAAATGATATTTTTCATGTAGAATGCATTTTTGCATTCAGTATATTCCAAGTATTAGCTCAGGGGGGCACGGATGGGGGGGCATGAAAAACAAGCTGGTGTAAGGTTAGGTCTGGGCATTTTTGGAAATAAATCTTATTTAGAAATCCGGAAATATTTTTATTTGCTTGATACAAAAACACTGATAATAGACAAATCATGCAGTTATCTTTATTCTGGAATCTCCGGACAGTTTGTTGCAGTGTGTTATTTGCTTTACACTAAAAGTGTGTGTGTGTGTGTGTGTGAGAGAGAGAGAGAGAGAGAGAGAGTATATATATGTGTGTGTGTGTGTGTATCGACCACATGCGGTTATCTTTTTATTGGAAGTGGGAAAATTATCTGGATTTGAAGGATGCCCCTGGCAAAGAAGGACTATAGCTGTATGTTCACAATTTCTTTCAATCACTTGCATTTACAGCTGAAATCAACAATGTCCACGCTATAAGTATGAACATTGATGTTACTGAACAGCAGCATTTTTACCTGAGATGCCAGCTGGTGGTTACAACAGTGTTGTGTAGATGATCAGACATTCCTGGAGATCTTCATTTAAACATTGAGACTGAAATTTTAGTTGTGTTCCTTAGAGAGTTAGGCTAGTTTAAGCACCTCTTTTTCAAGTTCATAATGTAAATTGAAAGGTTTCCAGGAAGATTGTAGAGCTAGCCGATTATTTCCAATTATGTACAGTGGTATCTTGGTACTTGGCATTAATTCATTCTGGGAGGTGCAATAAGTATTAAAAAGGTCAAGTCTCGAACAAATCACATGACTTGCCATGTAACCCATATAATTTTCTGTCTGTCCCTTTTCCTTATATCAATGACCTTCCCAAGCATGGCCAACTTCTGGCTATGTAGCCATCCTCACGCCTTTTGCAATGATCTTCCCAGCATGGATGACTTCCTCTCCATTGCTCACAGCTGTCCCCCTCTTCTTATAGCAGCACGTTGAGTACTAAACAAAAGTCGATTACTGGGACAATATTTTCATGTCAAATGCGTTGAAAATAGAATGTGTTTTGAAGCAGTTTTATATCCAGGTACCTCTGTAGTTGCAGCAGAATATCCTCAGGCAACCTAGCAGCTATTATTGAAAGGTAGTTTCCAGTTTTTCCCAAGCTTGCCATTCAACATGGTACTCAATATCATGGCATTGGGCCTGCCATCAGGCAATATAGAATAATCCACTTCTTCTATGCAACAATTGTTCAGCTTCTTTTGTAAACACTTCTTTTGTATGTTGTCTCAGTTATTTTTTTTTCTGTACCCATGTTTTTTTCAGCATAGGAGTTAATTTCCAGATTCCTCAACATCTTCATTGTTTTCCGCTACACTTGTTCCAATTTGTCCCTGTCCTTTTTAATCGTGGTGCTCAACGTACACACAATATTCCAAGTGATAGGATAAAGTGAGTTAATAACATCCCATAATCTGGATTCTGTAACCTCTGTTAAGAAGGTAGCATTTGCCTTTTTAGTGGCTACATCACACTGCTAACTTATGGTTAATAAAACACCTGGATATATATCTTAAACTGGTCCTTTTTGAAGTTGAAAAAAAATACTGTATTAGTCTCTAGTTAGCACAACTTGGAAATGTGAAAAAGAATGTTTTTAAGTATTAATGTTGCAAAGTATATAATTTACTTTTAAGAAAGCAATCAATGGAATAAACATAACGAAACTATACATCAACATATTGATGTATTTCAAAACATCAAAGCCAATTGATTATTTTATTGATTTATTCCTTTGATCAACTCTTGCATTGTCTATAAAAAACAATAGCTGGGTGTTTGAGGGTTTTATTTATTGAAGGGTCTACTTCCTGTAAAAGATAAATGAACCTGCTATGTATATTTGGTGCTGTAATCAATAATGTTAACATTGTAAATGATATTGGAACTGGAATTCATATGCTTTGAGGCTTTATTACAGAATAACTGAACATATGATGTAAAATTCTCTCACGAAGATAACCTTGAAAAGGAGATTAGTTTGAACAACACCAGAGGAATGCGTTATAAGTAATATGTAAACATATTTCCATTAATTTCATGGGTTATGGTCTGAGGATGGCAAATGTTCTCTCTTTGCACATACCCTACTTAGAAAATTGCTTCAGAAGTATATTTAACAAGCAATTTCTTCAGTTGCTAATGTGTTATGTTTACAGCTTCCTGTTGTGGCAGTTGACCATTCTTTTATTTTTTCCTCCCCCTCAGGTCCCTGTACAGTGGTCAGATATGGTAACTTTAAAAGCCAGAATGATCAATTACGGCTTACCGCGTTATCATTGGCTGACCCATGCTTGGAATTTCTTCCAGAGGGAGGTTAGTCAATAATCATGTCTGTGAATTATAAATTACATTTATATGTAGTCAAATTAAATGAGATAGATGTGATTTTTTCTTCTTCTTCTCCTAAGTCCTGTTACAGTTGTAAATGTGATGGAAAGGAATGCATAACTAATTCCAATAAATGAATCAATATAATGAATAATCTGTTCCCACCTCCTGTCCACATGATGGATAGGAAACTGCCACATAGTTAAGCTAAAGATAAACAGCAGGAGAAGGCAATTACTGATTTTGCCTTGATTTTGAGTATCTCTGAAGCTGGGCAAAAATTATAACCACGATTAGTAGTAACAATTTACCAGGCAATCCTGCTTCATTCAACTGTCCATGGTTAAAATTATGATTTTAATCTACATGAGCCATATAGTACTGGAGTTGATGGCGTTGAGCCTTCAACTCCAGTACTATATGATGGCAGGGTTACTTTTCATAGTAAAAGGGATGGTCTGCATAAATTATGGAAAGGAAAGAACTTAACATGTTCCTGATGAAAAGATCTTATATGCTTTGAAGGCCTTGATTTAAAATGTATTTGAAAACTTCAGTGTTTAAATTTAATCTCTGGAAGTAAAGTCGAAGAAAGCCTAATTATTTCCAGAGAATTACAAGCAGTGTTTCCATAGATTGTGTGACATGGTCCAGTTTTATTTCTTGCAATGTAACTGATGGTGAAACAGCACGAATTTGTACATTAATGGAAACAAGGGCACAGAAGAATATTAACAAGATGAATAGAAAGTTAATAAAATATTAACAAGAAAATAGAAAATACATGGAAGCATGAATAAAAAAGCCATTTGTTTTCAGATACTTCTTCCCGATCAGACACAGTTTTAAGTATCAGTCATTTTCTTGAAATCTGTACATTTAAAAATTTCTTGGCTGAATTGTTAAGTTTGTTTTAGAAACATTAAATAGGAAAGCAAATGCAATTAATGAACTGCATTCTTCAAAAGCTCTGAATCTATTGAGGAAAAATACAGAGCCATGGTTCATCTTTTTTGATGCAGCAGCGGGCGGCGTGGGGGGAAGACTTTTAAAACCCTTGGTTTAATTTTCCTGGGAGAAAAGGGCCTTATTCTCTTTGCACTTTGGTGTTCTGTTTTAAGAATTGTAACCTTAATGAGTGTTGGGCTTCTAAGTGCTGAAATTGTTACAGAGAGCACTTGTGGTGAGAAACAGTTATGGGTGCTAATTACAGACAGCTTTTTTCTGTTTCATTGGGCAAATGAGAGGATTATGACCCTCATTATTACACCAATCGCAGGAGAAAATGTGCAGTAATTTTAAAGAAAAAAAATTAAGAAATAAATAAACATTCCTTAGTGGCTTAGTTTAAAATTATCTTTCCGGAGAAGCTCTCTGGTGTAACCATAATATTGGTGCATTTCACTGAACGATTCTGATTATTGTTAAACCTGTTATTGCTATGCTATGTTGTGAACTTTTTAAACTTTTAATATTTGTTTGCTGCCTGTTGAATTGAAGGGTTAGGATTGAACGGATTTGGCAGATTATACTGAATTGGCAGATAAATCTTGTAAATAAATAAAGGCTAACTATGGACATGCCAAAAACACTTACATGGACACACATGGAGATTGATAGAAGAGACAGATGTTGTTACAAACTGAGGGCCAGAGTCAGAAGTACAGAAATGCCACTGCTGTACTGAATAGAAATCTGAACAAGATTTCTTCAAAGTCATCTGGTTTGTGCAGAGACCAATTTCCAGTTGCCCTTTAACCAATGCTTTCCAAGTTACCTACAGAAATATTCTTAAACGAATCCATAAAACATAGCTAAGCTAAATAGAAGAGATGCAGATTAGATATATCAAAATACCAGACAGCAATGACCAGAGTAACAGAGTAAAAGAAATTTGCATTTTCATCCTGACACGTTTTATATCCCAATTGGATTCATGCATGCAGTTCTCAGTTCTATGAAGAGCCGTGTTGAATGTAATATTGGGCCTCTCACCACACATAGCATGTGTTGTTATAAAATATGGGTGCCAATGGGCTGTTTATCTAATATCTGGTTTGAGATATTTTACATAGATATTTGCTATGCGTGTCCATGACAAGGAACTTGGTGAAACCTTCCATATTTAAATCATTGTATCTAAATGCTCTAATTTCACTTGAGTATGTGCTCTCCTGAAATGCTCGCGGATTTTGCATTTACAGATAGTCCTTGCTTAGTGACCATTCAAAATTGTGATACCCACTGCCCCCCAAAGGTACTTAACCTGATTTTTGAAGTTCTGAAGGCCATAACCCCCACCCCCGCCCGTGGTCAGATGATAGCATTTTGGGTACCATGGCAACTAGCTTGCAGCTGTGGCCATTTGTAGCATCCCACAGACACATGTCTGTGATTTTTGATGTTTTTGCAAGTTCCCAGCATTTACTTCGAGGTTCTGGCAAAAAAACAACAACACTTTAGATAAAATGGATTTGCTTAATGACCTCCACATTTGCTTAACAACCACAACATTCACAGGAAAAAAGGTCATAAAATTTTATGCAATCATGAGGTGATTCACTTAATGACTGTAATGACTCACTACCACAATTCCTGGCTCAATTATATTTGTAAGTCAAGGACTACTTGTAGATATTTTTCCATTTTAAACGTGTGTTTATAGTAGCACTGCCATTTCAATATGCTGGCCTTACTAAAATGTACCTATCTTTCTTTGAACTTCTACATTTAAAAGTTTTGGATTTTAACCCTTTTTTAGACAGCTGAACAAGAAACATAAATGCTAGAATTCATCATATACTTTGCTTGTTGGACAACCTGAAGGATTTTAATCTGAAATTTAGTCTGTTCCATCAGTCATAGATTTGGGTGCCTTTGATATTCCATAAAAATATTATTCAGAAATCTGGGAATGGGCAATTTTGGTTTCCTGTAAATTTTCCATCTCAGCTTCCGCTCTCCCAAAGTAGCTCTCTCAAAACAAAATAAATATTTGTTTGTTAATTTATTTATATTTATCCCGCCTTTATTGTTTTTTTTTTGAATAACTTAAGGTGGCATGCATATCTCACATGCCTTTCTCCTCCAGTTTTCCTCATAACAACAACCCTATGAATTGGGTTAGGCTGAGGGAGGGTGACTGGCTTACAGTTATCCAACTGGCTTCCATGCCTAAGGCAGAATTAGAACTCACAGTCTCTTGGTTTCTAGCTTGATGCTTTAACCACTGACTAGACCAAGCTACGCTCTCATTTTTTATTTTTTATTCATTATTTTTTATTTATTTTACATTAGAAAACCGGTAAGATCATTAGTCCTTTGGCCAATTGTTATACATCATTTAGAAATCTAGATTCTGTCATGAGGATTAGAAACTTTTTCTGGGAAAATGAAAAAGTTTAAATTGTCAGAAAAACGGAATTATTTTATCCAGCCTTAATAGCACAGAAGTGACAGTTTATACGTTAGATATTTCTTGCTCTAAACTTCTGTAAATTATACCCAAATTCCAATCACATTCTCTTGCCAAATATGCAAATCTAACTTTTGAAACAGACATATTTGTGAAATGCATTCTAGGTAGGTCCACAGCAATTTTTGGGTGGCTTTAATTAGAAAAGCTGACTTATAGTTTTAGGAATAAAACTAATTTGGTGTATTTCCCATTTTAACATTATGCTAACTCTATCTGACCATTTACTGTTTAGCTTTTGAAAATATTTGGAATTTGCTTGCTTCCTACTTTAGTGAGTACCTGTCTTTTTATTTAACTAAGAACACATAATTTTATTTGGGAAACAATTTTTTAAAGCTAGGATACATTAATTTCCTAATAGGCATGCCACTTTGTTTTGTTTTTTTTCCATTTTAAAACAGAGGCTTTGCTTACTGAGATGAGTCACAAAGGAGAAAACAAAGGCCTTGAGGTTTGGACGATAATTTTCACATTTGTATTTTGAGAGGAATTTCATTTAGGCTCTCTTGAAGTTTACAAAACATCTATCTTCAGACACATAAGTGCTTTAGGTAGTTCAATCAAATGGAAGGATAAGATGGTGTTTGGCCTGGTCAATATTCCAAGCTGTTTTTCTTTATAGCTCTAAAGAGTCCTTGTTTTCTCCTTTGAAAAGAGGTCTCCAAACTTGGCAACTTTTAAGACTTGTGGACTTATGGAAGTTGCCAAGTTTGGGGACCCCTCTTCTAGAATATTGATATTCAAAATGAGGCTTCCTTTAGAGAAGTTGCGAGCTTGAATGCAACTCAGAATTGTTCACTGCATTCTGTGGTCCTACAAGCATCATACCAAGGTGACGGTTCTTTTGCAGTTTAAATGCTGCGGAGTGGTGTATTTCACGGATTGGCTGGAAATGACAGAGATGGATTGGCCTCCTGATTCCTGCTGCGTGAGGGAATTCCCAGGATGTTCTAAACAGGCACACCATGAAGATCTGAGTGACCTTTACCAGGAGGTAAGAATTTAAGCAAAACCTTCTTCTAAGCCTGTGGTGTGTTTTATTTGCTACAGCTGCTTTCCACTTACAGTATAAGCACATCAAACTAAAGTCTTCAGCTGCATGCCGACCTTGATAGCGGAATTTGGACTTTATTTTTTACTAGACAACGCGTACCCCATTTGCGTCATCATTTCAGAGTATTTCTTTAGCTGAACCAAGAAACAGAATGGGCGGGCGTAAAAGCCGTGGGAGTAGGAATGATTTCCTATTTCTTGGAAGCTTCCCCGTTGAGTTTCTTTGTCGGAATCCGGCAACGGGTATCAAAAATGTTCCCTTCCTTTCCCTTCACAGATAAATGGCTGCTGCTGGGAGGAGAAGGAGTGAGAGATTGTGAGATTGATTGGGAAATTGTCATAGAACATTGAAAATGAATGTCACATGACTTCAGCAGCAGCAGCCAGTAGTACTGAAGCAGGCACAGCTTCCCCAAATTTCATTCCCACAGGTCCTAGAATTTGAATGCATTCTGGAAATTGAGGTACCTTGGTTTAAAAATTGCTTCCCTGTGATGCACTGTTTCACACAGTTGAAGGTCATGATAATGAGAATTTTTAGTATTGGTGTTCGTATTAGAAGTACTACTAGTGTGTGTATGTGTGTGTGTATTAAAACAGGGATGAGCATCCATAAGAAGTGGGGTACATGTAGTCCACCAGCACTCTCTTGGAAATATTCAGAGCCCCCCTAGAAAAGGTAGAAAAATTATTGAGTTTGGGACAGTTTTAAAAGAGTCAATCCAGCCTTAACCCCTCCAATTCTAATTCCTTCTAGAGAAAGGGTCATAAAAGTTGGCTCTTCTTACTTTGATGGTGTCAAAGTATGTTTCTAACATGTCCCTTGTGACTTTCAGGAGTCAAAAAAAATTAAAAGTCTAATCCTGGGCCATTTTCTATAAGGAAATGAGTTCTTTTTTTTTTTTTTCCTATGGGAATTTCTCTTAAACCATAACAAAATTCTTGATTTTGTTCTGATCCAGGAAGACCCAAAACAAGGCACAAGTCTTATTCCCATGTAGCAATATTTAGATGCAAACCCTTTATAAACTTGGAGATAGAATTGCTACCATGGCCCACAGATTCTTGGTGAATCTGAACATTCAAATCAAAGGTTTCATAGGCAGCCCATCCAGAGCTAGTTTTTTTCTGAAATAGAGATCAGTCGTCAAAAGACAAATTTGGCATGACTCTCTATATTTTTTCATTCTCTTCTTCCAGCAGGAAATTATTGAATGTTCTTATTGGTGTCCCTGTTAATCCAGCCAAAAATAAAAGTTCTTTTTAAAGGAATTTAAAACATTAAGATATATTTAAAATCCAATGCAATACCTTCATGAATGGGAAGTTTGGAAGCCAAATGGTCTAACCCAGTGATGGAGAACCTTTTTGGCACTGAGTGCCCAAGGCATGCACACACACACCCCAAAATGCACATGCGTGCCTTCTAGTAACATATCTGATTACTTACATCTGTGTTTATTTAACAGTTATATCCATCCCATGTCCAGGATAGCAGAATGTTGCTGAAGTCTAATAAAAAGATGCCTTCAAAAATCCAGAATTAGCATGGGGATTTTACTCTAATATTGAAAAGTCACAAGAACATTCGCAAGGCAAAGGCCAATCTAAGTGAACAGAATGTTTCTTGGATAAAACATAACAATTGAGAAGATTTTTCTCATCACATCTCTGGGTAAATAGATCTAGAGAAAGTCAGTTGGAAAAAGATACAGGTAATCCTTAGTTAATGACTGCTTGTTGATTGGCTGAAGTTATAACAACAAAGAAACTTGTCACCAATCTTGTTGACTCCATCACAACGCCCCCCCAAAATCACACGATTGTGATTTGGGAACTGGGCACCTGGTTTACAATTATGACAGTCACAGCATCTGGCAACCACTTGATCCCATTTGCAATCTTCTCTGCTGGCTTCCAACAAACAAGTCAATAGGGAAGTTGCAAATGGTGATGTTGACACGCTTAAAAACCGCATAGGATCCACTGAACAAACTCAAGTGGAATTGCCAGATTGCTGTTGTAAGTTGGCAATGTCACACGGTGTCAAATTTTACAACAGCATCACATAGCAACACAGTTGCTGGTCTCAATTACTATCCTTAAGTGAGGGCTACCTGTATTGGCATACTGATGGAAAGTCCTTTACATGCCAGAATCCCAAATTGAATATAGATTTGCGAGAAAAGCCCTTGGAATTGAAACGGAAAATGGAGCAACCTTTTGCCACAAATATTAGAATTTGTCAGAACATTGTCATTCATAGGCCCTTAATTGTTACAGCATTCATACAATCTACAGGCCTGGGTTGCCTGTATGTACACTTTTGGGGGGGTCTGTCCCTCTTTCTATAATGTGTCTTTCTTGTTTTGTATCTTCACAAAATCTTTTGTGCAACCACATTGCCAGCTTGTAGTCTGCTTCGTTCCTGGATCTTCACTGAAATTGCTTGCGATTGTTCAGTGCTACCTTTTTAAGAACTTCTATTCTATCCATATTCCTTTCTCATAAATGTCTCCCTACAACTTGCTATTGCTCTACATTGTTTAATGTACCCTATAACTATCATTAAGTATTGTACCTGATGATTTTTGACTCTTGATGAATGTATCTTTTCTTTTATGTATACTGAGAGCGTTTGCACCAAGACAAATTCCTTGTGTATCCAATCACACTTGGCCAATAAAGAATTCTATATTCTATATTCTATTCTATTCTATTCTATTCTATTCTATTCTATTCTATTCTATTCTATTCTATTCTATTCTACTCTACTCTACATTTATTAAAACGGGCACAGATTCTGGGGTAACTAAAACCCCTCTTTTGCTTTAATTTTATCTTTCCTTTTTATTTGGATTTTCTTTTGGAAAAGCTTTTCCTTTGTACAACAGCCAGTAATAAATAGTAGCAATAGTAATGCTTTTATTTGTTCTTTGATTTATTTTATCACAGATGCTCTGTACAGTGTTGCCAAATTCATTTGCATTGATTTATGAGCAGGTGTAGGTACTTTTAACAGTGGAACTTTTCCTCCTTTTTTTGTTCTTTTGAACAAAACCTATTCTCTCATTGATGTATTTCAATCATTGGCATCATTGCTCCCTTCATATACTTTATACCTATTAGATGATACAATTTTTATGCTAGGAGTTCAAGCTTATTTTGTTCTCTTCCCATACCCGGAACACTAATATATGGACAATGAAGGCCACGCACATCTAAATGCTCTATGCGATTTCTTTAAAGAGCTTTAAAGAACGTGGCTGTCATTTTACTCCAGCTTTCCTTTGCTTTACAGCTCCTCAAATATATTTTAAATGTTTTATATATTTTTCTTCTTAATAATGAATTTTTAAAAATATTTTATAAGGATTGTTTTTCAGTACCTGTAGTTTTGCTTGCCCAGAGTTGCTTTTAGTGAAATGAACGGCTATATAAATAGAGAAAACAGAAAAAAAGAAAATATCACTCCAAACAGCCAGGTGAGCCAATCTTTGAGGAAGGTTTCTGGAACCCCCACTCGGAAGGAAGCTGAGTAAATGGGCTAATTTTACAATCCTAATTTTACAGTTCCCCCGCTCCGCTACTCTTTCGAATGCTCATCCTTGTGCTGGGAAAAGTAGCAAGAAGGGAAGTGATGTCCGTATTTTCATTCGTTGGAGGGAAAAAGTTTAAGCAGAAACACAATAGGGAATACACATGGAAAGGAATGCACTAGCATCAGCTGTTTGTCTAGCCCATTTGCAGCTGCCAGTTAAGGAAAAAGGAAGGCTGTAGCATGAAACGGATTATAGTCTGGTTCATTACAAGGCAACAGTGCAGGCTGGCTAGAGAGTTCTAATTAAGGTCAGAGAGTTCACCTTGTTAACTTGTAGTTAGCATTTTTTTTAAGGATACGTGTCACCTCAGGAAGGCGACCTCTCCACAGCGCTAGCGGGAGGAAAACAAAACCCCGCTCAGGCACAGGATAGTACTGGCTGTAATGATGAGCAAGTGGTTGAGAGAAAGAGAGAGGTGGATACTGTGAAGGTCATAAACGCATCATTAGTTGCAAAATTTCTTTTTCATTTCTGTTTCACTGCAAATGGTTGCTGAAAAGGTAGTCACTAAACAAGGACTGCCTGTGCATTTTTACCAGTCTTTGTAAAAAATGCAATATGTGCCCACAATCTGTCATTCCAAAAACTTTAGCCATAGTCCTAGAAATAAAATCTGCACTAGCCAGTCATTCATTTGTAATACTTTTCTTTCCCTTTTTTTTTTGTCTAATTCAGTGGAAGACCATTTGAACTCACAAGGTTTTCCTTCCTTGACAGGCTAATATATAATATCTAGGAAAAGGGTTTTAATAAATATAAAGTAGGTAGCTGAATCTGATAAAACTGTTTTTTGTGTAGATACAGAAAATTGGAGTTGGAAGGGACCTTGTAGGTCATCTAGTCCAACCCCCTGCCCAAGCGGGAGACCCTACACCATTTCTTACAAATGGCAGTCCAATCTCTTCTTGAAAGTCTGAAGTGATGGCACTCCCACAACTTCAGAGGGCAAGTTGTTCCATGGGTTGATTGTTCTCACTGTCAGAAAGTTTCCCTTATTTCCAGGTTGAATCTCTCCTTGTTCAGTTTCCATCCATTATTCCTTGTCTGGCCTACAGGCACTTTAGAAAATAGCTTGACCCCTTCCTCCCTGTGGCAGCCCCTCAAATATTGGAAGACTGCTATCATGTCTCCCCTGATCCTTCTCTTTACTAGACTAGCCAGGCCCAGTTCCTGCAACTGTTCGTTGTATATTTTAGCCTCCTTTAGTCCCCTAATCATTCCTGGTTGCTCTTCTCTGTAGACTAGATTATGACTCTACTCTGAGTCAGTTGGTCAGAATTAGAGAGTAGCTGCTCCATTTGAGGTACTCAGATTTTCTGATTTCAAGCATCTCTGGGCACAGTATAGATATGCTGAATTTTCTTTTCTTGCTCCATAGGGTTGTGACAAAAAGATGTACACATTCCTGAGAGGAACTAAGCAGCTGCAGGTGCTTCGATTTCTAGGAATCTCCATAGGGGTTACCCAAATTTTGGCTATGATCCTTACAATTACTTTGGTGTGGGCTCTGTATTATGACCGCCAGGATCCACGCACAGACCAAATGCTGTCTTTGAAGAATGATGCTACTCAACACCTGTCATGTCATTCTGTGGAGTTATTAAAACCCAGCCTGACAAGGATCCTTGAGCATACCACAATGGCAAACAGCTTTAACACACACTTTGAAATGGAGGAACTATAGCGCAATCTGCCAGGCTGTGATTTCTACAATTTAAATATAGCCATTATTTTGGATCCTGGACACTGTATTTTAAGCTGTCATGGAAAAGAGGCCACGGATTGAAGATTCTCTTAAGGACAATTGTTTTTCTTTTCTCATAAAATTTGTTAGAGTTATGTAATGCTAAAAATAATTGTTTTACAAAATAAGGACAATTTGTCATTTTTCACAAGATTATATGCACCATGTAAAAAGTAGATCACTAGTCTCATTATATTGAGTGAAAAAAAAATAGGCAGGAATAGTTTCAGGGATGTCACCTATTCAAAGTTTTCACTTCAATAATTCTGTTAGATTGAGGATGGAAGTCTTCAGTGCTGAAAGCCCCACAGATGATAGAGGGTGATAGATAATCAGTGTTCAACAATTACATATAATTTAAGTGATTTTTCCATTTCATTTTCAAGGAACGGAAATTAGCAAGACACAATTATTGAACGTGTTGCATTCAGATCTGATTCCTTGCAGTTGTTAATCACAGCTGAGAAAACCCTGAACTTGGGATCTTAAAAAAAAGACACCCTCTGAAAATATGGCAATCTTATCAGTTTAATCCATACAAAGAACTGCATGTGAGAAAAATCATTCACAGTAGCATTGTGGTCATGAATGTACTGATGGGAGAGCCCTATGATACAGCAGATGTATGATTTGCATTTGGAATGTAGCTGTCAGTGACATCCAGGCATGAAATCCAGTTACTTAACAGTACGTCACTTCTCAACATACAAGTATAAACCCTGGATCTTCCCTCTTTTGTTTGTGCATTGCAATACCAACATCAATGGATTTTTTTTAAATATCATAGTCTCATATCCTGCAAGCAAGCAAATAGTTGGCTTATCCCACAATAAAGGCACAAAGAACAGCTTAAGGAGAAACCATGACAACTGTTATTATTAAATAATGGTGGTAATTGCCACTAAAAGAATCAGGGATAGATATGTATATAGTAAAGTGTGTATATGTGTAATAGAACTGCTATCAACATGGAAATTTGGATTTTTGTAAAAAGGATAATCTTATTGTAGAATCATTTTGTTTAGTTTAAGGAAATATGTGAATCATTTAATTTTTAATGATTGTTAATTTTCAAATTAAATTATGTGGACTGAAGGAAAAAACATATTTAATACTTAAGTGTATTTGTTATATGTGGATTGCTTGTGTGAATGTGCGTGAGTGTGTGAACGTTCACCTTAAGGAGATAATTCTATTCATATGTTTATTTGCTGAAACTTAAGTTAAAGAGGCAATCTATATTGTCTCCAACGAAAAGCTCCTTGTAAAAGTATTCCAACTTTTCCCCTACCCTACTTATTTTTCAGTAAGAAATTTGGAGGATGATTTACCCAGTAAACCACTGAAATAAATGAGAATAAGGCTCACTTAACTTTGCTTAAACTTTGTACTTAGTGTTGTGGAAATATATATTCATGGATGATTTAGCTCATTTGAATACCACGGAACTATCTCTTTTGCAGGAATTTTTCTCTAGATCACCTGCTATCTGTCACATATTTTCATTTGAATGTGCATATTTGATGGGGGGTGGAGACTAGTAGATGCCTAGCGGTATATAATTTGTATGGATATTCATTTCCATTTTGTAATCAGGACAGTCATAATGCTGCTTAGAGAAACCATGATTTGTTACAGTATAACCAGATAACAGCTACATATGTATCTTCATCTTAGCCTTCTTCTCTACATTAATTAATGTATTAATTAATTAATTAATGCAGTAGCTTAAAAGAGAACCTCATAGTTTTGTTGAGTTTTTCAGTCTCCAAGAAAGAAGATGTGATTTAAATACAGCCTACAAATTAGGATTGTAAATGACAGTTTCAACTATAATTTGCAAAACAAGATTCTAGGGAGTATGCAAAAAACATTTTGCACTTTGATCATCATGGGAAATTGTAACTGAATAAAACTGATTTATTAAACCCAGAGGTTTCCTTGAAAGCTGAGCATACAAAGAGGCAGAAGGGGGAAACAAAGAACCAAAGATTGATCTCATGACAGTACTTGTATCTGCACTTTTGATTTTGTAAGTACACAACATGGATTAGCTGATCAATAGGCTAAACAACAGGTTATTTTGGAGAAAAAAAACTATGCTTTTTTTCCTTCTACTTAGAGAATATGCATGGGAGCCAATCCAAATTGGGATTCTGATGTAGGAGAGAAAAGAGATTAAACTATTTGCTCATGCAATATTCTGATTTGAACATCTTGAGCTCAAAAAAGAAGTTCAATAGATAACTTTAATAAATTATCTTTTGGCAATTGGGAAGAATGAGAAACAATTTTGAACCACAGCAGAAATCAAAAGCTCCTTCTATAGAGATATCTTGATTCCAATTAGGTTCCTTGTGCATAGTCCACATAAATCTACTAATTTAATTTTAAAGGAATGTCTAAGTTTGTCCTTGTTTATGCAATTAAAGATATCATCTTTATAGATTGCAAGAAAAAAAAAGTTGCAACTATTTTTCATGTTGAATACTGGGGTGGCTTAAATTCCCACAAGACAACTTACTTATTGAATTCTAAAAAGTGTATCTTACTGTATTTTATATGTACTGTAGAATTAATTTTCAACTAGTATTCCTTTTCTGCATTTTATAAGGAGGCAGTTGAAATTATTGTGTCTCCTGAGAGATACTGTATGGGTGTCAAAATTAGTTATCCCCCCATTGTTCTTTGCAAGCTGAACATAGCAAAAGGACTGGGCTGAAGCAAACGTTTGGAAACTAGCTTTTAAGTGATTGACCATGTGCCTTATCTCTCAAGCATGATGCATTGAACTTGTGAAGTTTTTATTCTTACACAATTCCCATCAGTAGCAGCGAAGGATGAAAATGCCAGGGATCAATGGAAGCTTGTACTCTTGTGATTTTAAATGGTTCCCGCTTGCCTTGGTCTTCATTTGGGGCAAGGAAAACGAAGCCATTACTGTCATATATTTTATATTGTGGTGTTCATTCATTGATTCATTAACTATTTGATTCATTCACTAATTTCCTTTTGTCTTTTAATGGGATTTAGCTGTTAGGGTTTTTTTCTTCTAACCAGGGATTTATTACGAACCTAGAGCTACCTGCAGCATATTTCTTGGACACTGCTTTGCTAGTCTTTAGGTAAAAGATGTTTGTTTCCTTAGGTAGCTGAGTGGATTCTACCTTTTTGAACTTCTTGAAGATCCCAAGAATCACAGCCTGTCATACTGAAATTACTGATATCAAAGATGACTAGTCAGGCCAACATGTCATCTAAAGGCATTTTCACTTTGCTTATAAAGAGCAATCAAGGAGAAAGTTGATAAGAGCTTGACCACAGCTCCAATTTCCTGTTTGGCTACACTAACATACAGTTTCATTGCACCCACTGAAAAGTGCAAATAGATGTAGGTTTAGATTATGCATAAGTACAGTTGAAACTCGAAAAATTAGAACATTGTGCAAAAGTTCATTTATTTCAGTAATGCAACTTAAAAGGTGAACCTAATATATGAAATAGACTCATTACATGCAAAGCAAGATAGTTCAAGCCATGATTTGTCATAATTAAGATGATTACGGCTTACAGCTCATGAAAACCCCAAATCCACAATCTCAGAAAATTAGAATATTGTGAAAAGGTTCAATATTCTAGGCTCAAAGTGTCCCATTCTAATCAGCTAATTAAGCCATAACACCTGCAAAGGGTTCCTGAGCCTTTAAATGGTCTCTCAGTCTGGTTCAGTCGGAATCACAATCATGGGAAAGACTGCTGACCTGACAGTTGTGCAGAAAACCATCATTGACATCCTCCATAAAGAGGGAAAGCCTCAAAAGGTAATTGCAAAAGAACTTGGATGTTCCCAAAGTGCTGTATCAAAGCACATTAATAGAAAGTTATTTGGAAGGGAAAAGTGTGGAAGAAAATGGTGCACAAGCAGCAGGGATGACCGCAGCCTGGAGAGGATGGTCAGGAAAAGGCCATTCAAAAGTGTTGGGGACTTTCACGAGGAGTGGACTGAGGCTGGAGTCAGTGCATCAAGAGCCACCACACACAGACGGATCTTGGACATGGGCTTCAAATGTCGTAGTCCTCTTGTCAAGCTGCTCCTGAACAACCAACAACATCAGAAGCGTCTTACCTGGGCTAAAGGAAAACAGAACTGGTCTGTTACTCAGTGGTCCAAAGTCCCCTTTTCTGATGAGAGCAACTTTTGCATCTCATTTGGAAACCAAGGACCCAGAGTCTGGAGGAAGAATGGAGAGGCACACACTGCAAGATGCTTGAAGTCCAGTGTGAAGTTTCCACAGCCTGTGTTGATTTGGGGAGCCATGTCATCTGCTGGTGTTGGTCCACTGTGCTTCATTAAGTCCAGGGTCAATGCAGCTGTCTACCAGGAGATTTTGGAGCATTTCATGCTTTCCTCCACAGACGAGCTTTATGGGGATGTTGACTTCATTTTCCAGCAGGACTTGACACCTGGCCACACTGGCAAAAGCACCAAAACCCGGTTCAATGTTTGTGGGATTACTGTGCTTGATTGGCCAGCAAACTTGCCTGACCTGAACCCCATAGAGAATCTATGGGGCATTGCCAAGAGAAAGATGAGAGACATGAGACAGAACAATGCAGAGGAGCTGAAGGCCACTATTGAAGCATCCTGGTCTTCCATAATACCTCAGCAGGGCCACAGGCTGATAGCTTCCATGACACGCCGCATTGAGGCAGTCATTGCTGCAAAAGGGGCCCAAACCAAGTACTGAATACATATGCATGCTTCTACTTTTCAGAGGTCCGATATTGTTCTATGTACAATCCTTGTTTTATTGATTGCATGTAATATTCTAATTTTCTGAGATTGTGGATTTGGGGGTTTCATGAGCTGTAAACCATAATCATCACAATTATGACAAATCACGGCTTGAACTATCTTGCTTTGCATGTAATGAGTCTTATCTCATATATAAGGTTCACCTTTTAAGTTGCATTACTGGAATAAACGAACTTTTGCACGATATTCTAATTTTTCAAGTTTCACCTGTATTATACTGAGCAGAAAGTTTCTATTTAAATGTTCTTAGGTTCAAAAAACTAACATGCTTTGGAGTATGTGAGGATATGAATATATTTTCCCTAACTCTTTAAAGCATCAGTGTCTTTTCTCAGGATCATATAAAATTATGCGCTATCATGCTTCAAAGTATTTTTGTGTAAATGATCAGTTATTTTGATTGCCCAGAACAGAATTTACTCTTGAGTTCCAAAGTTTCGAAGATACGGTACTATGTAACTATATATATGAAGAATAACATTGAATTTCAAGATAAATTTTACTCAAGGGTTTTCTGCATTCATTCAAGATCATTTGACATATAAGCAGGAACAAAATTCTCTGTGAATGAGGTTATTGCAAAACCAGTTTCCCATTCAAGCATGCAGATGTTTTATTTAAGTACTCCTTGGACCTCTGATTTATTTAGAAAAACACATCTTGTTATACTGTTCTTCTGAAACACAAGACAAATTTCACCTCCCCCATAGTAGAAGAAGAACAACACCTTGAAGTTTTTTGTGTGACACACAGAAATAATTACATTTAATTTACAGTACAGATGCATTTTACACAGTCGCAAGTCGTTCACTACAAAAAAACAGCATTTAAATCACCTAGAACACTGAAAGAATGCTTAACTTCTGCATTTCAGAGAAAACAGTAGTAGCTGTGTGATGGATGGCTAGCATTATGCAAAATTTTATTGAACACAAGAGCAGAGAAGTCAAAACAAACATACTTCTAGACTGTATCTGTCCTCTAAGTACCAGTGTTCCAGCTTTCCCATTTATGATCTCAAATAGAGCATTGTCCAAGACGAACTTTTTAAATCCCAGAATGTCAGAACTGGTTTATAAAGCTCCTAATTTAGAACAGAGTTGGCCTTGACTTGAAAAAAAAAAAAAACATGGGAAAAGAAAGAGGTAGTAGAAAGGCTGTGGTAGCCATAAATCAATAATAACTTATGCACAAGCTAGGGGGGATAGGTGGATTTCTGTGAGATATGAAGTTTGGACATGACTTCATTGCTATTTGTGGACTGAATTCTGCAGGTCAGTGATAAAATCTGTTTCTGCATACAGCTCATCAGGAGCTGTCTGTGGCTGTCAGCGAAGTAGAATCCACAAATGTAATTAATGTACCCCGTGATATTTCAAGAGAAGAAACTGGTGAAAATTATATTTAGTATTTGGGTATTACTAAAACCCAAAATTCCTATGGCATAAAGTATAAAAGATTGAGTTAGTAATAAAAAATATAGCTGTGAGTAGAGATTTTGAATTATTGTTTTCCTCTTTATTAACATCCACCTGCATCTGTGCACGCCTTGCATTGTGAA